ATTTATTTTTTAGCTTGTAAGTTTTTTAAATAAAATTATTTAAAAATTTATATAAATATACTGTATTTATAATTTATTTTTTTTAATTGTTAAAACATTTAAATAAAATTTATTTTAATAATATATTATTTTGCTTAATTATTGTTGCAAATTAATTAAAATTAAATTAAATTAAGATTAATAATTTTTTAAATTATAAAACTTAGAATTTTATCTTTTAACATATATGCAGATTACTGCAAGTCTCTAGATCCATATAATCACGTGAAACTTGCCTATAAATACTAATAATAATAAAAATTTTTTTTAATACCTTATTACTTTGATAATTTGACAAGTGATTTCTAATTCATAAACCCTACCAAGTCAGGCCACACTATATGACGCTCTATATAGAAAACAAGTCTGAGGCTTGTTCATATTTTATATACTAAAAAAGTCTAAAATTTATGTCAAATGAAAGAAAAGTATGAGCTTACTAATTCTAATTCTGTGAGCAAGAATTGCGTTGTTGTTAATAATAAGTTCTAACTATTGATTTTTCAGATTCTCTGGAAGGAGTATATAGTCCTATTTATTCCTCTAGTTTTCTAGAAAAATATGTGCTTCCATGTATCGCTAGTTCTACAAAAGGCAAATATGTGTCTAACGTTTCTGATTCTTCAGCAAAAGAATATGCGTTTATTGATGCTGGTTCCTCAGAAGAAGAATACGTGTCTAACATAGCTAGTTTTCTAGTAGAAGAATATGTACTTAACTTAGCTGGTTCTCCAGTAGGAGAATATATGTCTAATGTCGCTAGTTTTCTAGAAAGAGAATATATGTTTAATGTCACTGGTTTTTCAGGAAAAGAAAATATGTTTACTATTACTAGTTACCCAGAAGGAGAATATGTATCTAATGTTGCTAGTTCTTTCATATTGTATATTTCAGATTGTATATAATTTAATAGTTAAGCTTACAATAATAGAGATATGAGAATGTACTGTTTAATGAATTGTCAACCATTGATCTTCTACAAAAAACTTTAAATCAGCGATTAAATTTGTTGAATACTATAATGTTACAGATGTATGAGCAGTTAATATTGGGAATTCATTACAAGCTAAGCACTATGTTCTTTTGCTGCAAAACAATAGATATATATATTCATGTTTTTCTATTATATACTCTGGAATCATATGTCAGCACTATTTTCAAACAATATTGACCACAAAACACTGGTCGAAATTTTTTAATATAAAAGGCCAATATTTGGAGGATAGCTAGGTAAAATATCTAAAAACAAACATTTGAATATCATATAGATGATATAAATATAAATAATATAATCAATGAAATATCGGCTTAAAATCATAGGAAGATATAAAG